ATTCACCTATTTTCACTTAAGAATATTTAATTTAGGGGCTAGAGAGATGGCTCAGTGGTTAAGAGCATTGGCTGCTCTTGCAGAGGAGCTGGGTTCAGTTCCCAGCACCCACATGGCAGCTACCAACCATCCATAACTCCAATTCCAGGGAATCCAACACCCTCTTCTGACCTCCATGGGCACTGCAGAACAGGGGTACACTTACATACATGCAGGGAATACACTCATAGACATAAAAAATGTTTAATTTACAAACCAGAATCATCTGGGACATCATGCTTCCTCCAGCACTTCCAAAGGTATAATATATCAGTGCCTAAGGTACAAAAATAATTATATTGGTTTTCCAAATTTGGAACTCACATCAAGCACTACTTTTTCACTTCTATCCCAGTAGTGAGCCTTGAGCTACTCCAAAATAAATTCCAAAGTTCAATCTGCTCTGTTAGGACAGCTTCCATTTATTGGGGAGTTACCAAGTTGCTGAGTCTGTGATAAGGACTTGGCATTTGGTATTTCAGTTTATCATCTTAAAATCATAAAGGAGATATTACCTACCTTCAATAAAGTACCTGATATATGAGACAAATTGTTAAAAAAAAATGTGGCAGATTGCTTAATTTCCCTGTTGAGCTTCCCGGTTGAGCTGGTGCTTTTAACGACCGCAGTAGAATAAGCCTCTTTAAGAACAGAGTCTGTTCAATGTTTCTTTTAAATAAATCAGTTTTATTCTTGAAAAAGTAGAATTAACTTTACCTTTGCTTGATCATAGTCCATTCCAATTCCATAAGAAGACAAAAATCCTAATGCCTAAAGTGTAAACAAAACCATGAAACTGAATAAATCAATTTGTTTCAAAAATTTTTGTCTATATTGATAAGGGATATTTTGCATGCGCCTGCCATAGTAAGTTGTACTTTTAACTTACTTATAATATCATAACAAAATGCTTTTGTTAAGGTTTGAGAATTTTGGAAAAATTACAATATTGGGAGTACTATATAATATGTGTGAATATAGGATAATTCTTACTGTACTTTAAAGTGTAATAATGAAGTATTATAGTCAGTCATGGTGGTGCACATCTATAATCCCAGGAGGCTGAGGCAGGAGGATCCTGAGATCTAGGTCAACCTGGGCCACATAGTAAGACTTTGTCTTAAAAAACAAAACAAAGTAAGCAAACTAAAAGTCATTATAAAACAATGGTTTCTATGTGTTTTCCTTTGTTGTAAATAAAAATTTTGCCTTTGTTATCTTAAAAAAATATATTCCTATATATTTTCTTCTTTTTAATTCTGTGGTGAATGGAGGTGCATCTTTATTTAAATTTAAACTTTCTTAGCTTTAGAAGATTTCACACTAGGATGAAGCTGTCCTCCTTTTAATAGAAATTGAAGACAAACAAATTGATAATATCTTTTCAAGTAGGTTGAAGCTGAAGTCTCAGATATTTTTACAATGACTGCCTTCATTGGATTGTGTTTCCTCATTGGACGTAAATTATCCACTATTCATTCATGGCATAAAATAATAACTTCATTTAACTAAAAGTTCTTTCAGTTGGCACTTGGGGCTGGGCTCTGCTAGATGGTTTTCTAGTCTTGGTGGGCTACATGTGTGTCTATTGGAACCTTCTTGTTAAGTGGTCATGCTTCTTGGGCCAACTAAAGGTAGAGTGGGTTCCTAGAACTCCCAGGCCACATTTCTTTCATGATACCAGGCTGGCCTATACTTGTTTTTGTGATGGATGATAGCTATCTGAGAGAGAACTTGAGGTACACTGAACCATAGGAGGCCTAGGCTCTGAGTTGGCATCCTGTCTGTCATGCTGCTTCATTCTGTTGCTAAAGCAAGTCACAGGCCAGCCTAGACTGAAGGAGACAGGAACAGATCCCATCTCTTGATGGGCAAAACTTCAAAATCATACAGAACGGGGTGTGGATGTAGTAAGGGAATCACTATGGCCAGTTTTGGGAACAATTCTCCACAGTGGTATGTATCTTGCAATTCAATCCATCAGATTAGAATCTGTGTCTTTTTTAGGCTTGTGAAGCTATCTACTTTCTGAATCTTGGCAGGGACAAGCACTACCTCTCCCAGTAGGAGCTGAGCACACTGCACATTCGTTCTTCTGCCCTATCGTGCCTGCAGCTTAGGCACCTGGGCACCGAGGAGTGAAGAAGGTGGGTTAGCAGGCTTGATGTAAAAGTAATGTTCTGGGTCTGGTGGTAACAGAAGTGATTGACGCCCCAGGCCAAGTTCTTGTTGCAGAAACAGCAACCATGTTGGTGTTAACATTGGTTACAGTAAAGTTCAAGGTGGAAAAGTGGAGTGGGCAGGGTGCCAATACAGGCCTCACCTACTCAGCCACAGCAGTCCCTGAAGCTTCATGGGAAGCAGGGTGTGGTAGGGTCTATGCACTTTGCAGAACTGGATGCTGTGAGCACTTACTGGAGTTGACTGAACACATCTTTACCTAGAGATGGATCTGGTTGGTTTCCCAGTTCACATGTGATCTGGCTTCACTTATGCAGGGGAATTTTGATGTTGCCTGGATAATCCTCTTCAGCTCCAAGGGTCTCCATAAGGAGAGAGACCTGAGAAGACTGGGTCCATGAGGCCCTGGCTGACTTTTCATCTCAGTGCAACAGTCTTAGTCCATTTCCTGTGCTTGGAGCCTTACCAATGTGGCTCTTTGAAGAAAACAGTTGGGTCAGTTGGAGAACTTGTATTTTGGAGTGATCTGGCATCTTATCATCTATTATTTAGTTTGTGAAACTAATTCTGCTCTCAGGTGGTACCAATGACCCTGGCTATGCAGGGGACCCTCCAGATTTAGCTGGGTCACCATCCAACCCTGGGAACAGCCTGTATCTCTTGCTTTCTTGCAGGCAGCCTGTGTGGCAATGGCACTAATGCATGCTACCAGCTACCTGTCTTTGATACTGTGTTTGTCAGGAAGAAATGCCGTCGACAAGGCCTGGGGACAGCCATGCTGCAGGACTTTTGTGACACTTTTCAAGAAGAAGAGGCCCTGGGGGTCAGTTGCCCAATTTCTCCTACCATGTATCAAGGTAACCCCAACTTGTGTCCCATGTGAGCATTTGGGTAATGGTGACTAATAATACATGTGCATCTTGGCAGCTCGAGGGTAGGAGGTTCTCAGAGCTCTCTGGGTAGATGAAGGTAGATACAGGCCTTGGCTTCTCCTCCTTCCCCCAGCTTTTGCTTAACTAGAGATGCCTCATATTTGATCTCACAAAGGAAACCTTTCCCAGCCTGAGAAATCACAAAGGAAAACAGCTGACCACATACTTTCCCTCAAGTGCCTTTAGTTGTTTCATTGTATTTTTCAAGCCCTCCAGCTGTTGTTAAACTCTGGAAAGCCTTTAATTTCTGCAGAGAGCATGCTGGAGGCTTCCTGCATGGTGGAGCTGGCTTTTGAGTACTGGGGAATTCAGAGGCCCCAGGCATTCACAGTCACATCCCCAGAGCTCTCTCTTCATTCAGGGTTCGATCCTGAGACTTGGAGTTAGCTGCTCTACCCAGTGCAGGCCACCTCAGGCTCCCAGTCCATCTTGTCAAAGGAGCTGAGGAGCCTGTTTGTTTCCCAGGTGGGCACAGGCTGCAAAGACAGAGCTATCCCAGGGCCCATGTTGCAGATCCCTGCCATTCCTCCTCTGTCTCTTCCTACAGAGAGAGACCTGAATGTGCCAACTCTGGATTATACTTCTGTTGGGGATTCAGTCACCCTCAGGCCCTAAGAGCCTTTAACTGAGGACAGTTCTGCCTTCCTCCCGCCCTGTACCGCTTCAAGTCCTTTTTTAGCTGCACCCCTTTCCATGGGATGAGAACTCTGTAGACCCAAGTCGATGTACTGAGCTGTGCCTACTTCTCCTTCTACACCTGGTCAGAGTATCAGGGCCCCAGAATGCCTGTCACTGCCTACCAAGAGCCTGTTTGTGCTTTAACCCTGGGTCTGTGCTTGGGAGGGTGACCTACTTGTATAGCCTTGAGCTCCAGGACATCTGTGGCATGAGGGTGGGTGTCTTCACTGTGTACACAGCCCCCTTGAGGGGTGGGTGAGGAAGCAGGGCAGCAGGAGCACGGTGGGCTGCAAGCTGGAGTCACTTCTGGTAGTGCCACACTCCAATGAACAACTCCAAGGTATCCACAAAGTCTAGAGTTGGAGCTGGCTTTCCCTGATAAGTAAGATTTGTCAGGCTAGGAGGGCAGGCTACACCCAGCATTTTGTTGGCTTGTTTCCACCTGTCAGATAGCATTGCAGTCAGTGGATATTCCATCTGTGCTTTTGCCCCGGGCCTACAAAAGGTAGGACAGTGCTCGCTGACACTCCCATAGTGACCCGCAGGCCAGAAGCAACTTCCCATTTGTCTGGTGAGGAGGGTAGGGTGATGCTGCTGTGTGAAGTGCTTATCCAAGAAACTTGGGCTTTAAAATCTACCAGCTTTCTGGGGCTGTTGGGATTCCAGAGTCTCCAAGGATGAACTGAAAGCATCTGTGTGAAGGGAGCACCTGGGGGAGGGAGCATGTTGGAGACTGAATTGTATCTCCCCCAAATTCATATGTTGGCTGTATTTGGAGATAGTGTGCCCTTAATGGTCATTAAGGTCAAATGAGGTAATAAAAGTGGAGGCTTAATTCAAAAGGACTGGCACCCGTCTAAGATGAGTGACCTGAAGGATGCACATAGACATGGCCATTTGAGGACACAGAGAAGACACTCAGGAAGTCCAGGAGGGAGGCCTCAGAGCAAACCAACCTGAGGTACCTGTGTTGTAGACTTCTGGCCTGCAGAACTTTGAGAAATCAACTTGTGTTGTAGTGCTGGCTCTCTGTATCTGGGGATTCCAGTTCTTGAATTCAAACCAATTGTGGGCTGAAAACATGAAAAAAGTTGCATCTGTGCTGAACCCATATAGGCATTTTCCCTTGTCATTATCCCCTAAACAGTATGTTCTAACAGTGATTGACATGGCATCTACATTGCATCAGGTGCTGAAAGGCATCTAGAGGATGGAAAGTTCACAGGAGGATGGATGTAGGGTCCATGGCAATGCTGTGCCTGACTTTTATATAAGTGTAGCCTCCTTGGATTTTTATATCTATATCCGTGGATACCAAGAGATGGCTATTTTGTAATTACAGCCCTAGAAACCCTGTGTTGGATAGATGGATGGCGTGGGAGTGGGAGATGAGCAGGGAGGATGCTGTAGCCCTGGGAGGTTGGTGAAAGGGGTTTAGTGCAGCAGAGTCTGAGCAGTGAGGTGGGGGTGACTGCCAGAGGAGCTGAAAGCAGCTGTGTGTATGCCCCAGAGAGAGCTGGCTGGGTGAACCAGTCCATTTAACTGACTCACAAGCACCTCTCTCCCTCCCAGTCCTCAGGCAGTTCCTGCTGGCCTGTCCAGCTCATCGAGGACGCCTGTGGGAGGTGGAACCCCCAGGGGCCTGGGGCCAGAGAGCCAACATCTGGCTCAAGGTTTATCTTCAGGAGGCAAGACTTCCAGAAGGTGAGTGGGGTGGAAATCTGCTCTTGGGCCTAATTATCCCTAGTGTTTATTCTCAGCTGCCAGTAACTGGGACAGTTTCACTTCCATTGATTGAATTTGATTAATGTATATGTTATTTCTGTTGAATTTGTAGCAGAGTGAAGGAGGGACTGAAGTGGCTGGGGGGCATTTGCTCCTTTTTAGTTTCTCCTTCCTGACTAAAGCAAACCTTCTCATCCATCCGGCTCAAACGCTCTCTCAATTTAGCAACTGCAAGCTCTCTGAGACCAAGGGTCTCCCTTTTGTTATTAGACTAGTTCATTTAGACATCTAAGAAGATCATTTCCCTCTGTTCCTCCGTGTGGCTGAGGATTGGGTGAAAATGTTATTTTGAGGGGGTAACATATACCCTTGGTTGAAAATTCAAACCATGCTTAAAGGGTTGCTGTGACAAACCAGTCTTCTGTCTCTCTTTCCTGTGCAGGGTACACACAACTACCTAAACAGTAATGTGAAAATCATCATTTTGTGTATGTGTGTGTGTATATATGTGTGCATGTGTGTGCGTGTGTGTGTGTTTGTATGCGTGTGTGATATGTATGTGTGTGCATATGTAGGACAGAGGTAGATATTTGGTGACTTCTATCATTTTTCCACCTTATTTTTTGAGACAGGGTCTCTCAGTGAACCTTGAGCTCATTGATTAGGTTAGACTGCCTGGCCAGTGAGCTCCAGGGATCCTCCTGTGCCCCTGCCCTAGTGCTGGGGCTGTAGAAACACACCGCCCTGCCTGGCTTTTATGTGGATGCTGGGGACTTGAACTCAGATCCTTATACTTACACAGCCGGCACTTTACCGACTGAGCCAGCTGTCCAACCCCTCATCTTCTCATTATTATTATTATTATTGTTTTTCTTTATTCTTTGAGAATGTCAAACATGTACACAATGAATTACGATCATATCCACCCCCATTTCCTCCTCTAACTCCCCCTGAACTCTCCCGACATGTCCCTTTCCTTTCATGTCCTCTTAAAAAAAAAATCTTTAAAGTTTATTTCCCCCTGCATCCAATTACTACTGCATGTGTGTGCATGAATGTGGGGCCATCCACTGGAGCATGGGCTGTGACCCCAAAGAAAGATGACTGTCCCCTCCCCAGCTACCATCAGCTTCCAGTAGCTCCTCAGCTAGCAGTGCGGCCTTGTGAGTTCCTCCCCCATCTGTGCTGAAATTTTGACTGTCTTGATCTTATGCAGATATCCACAGCTGCTATGGGTTCATCAATGCAATCGCCTTCTTTTGCTTAACAGCATAGTATGATGCCCTTCAGATGTACTGCTGTTTAGCTCCCTGTTAACCGTGGTCTCTTCAGTTATGGGTGATTCCAGACAGTGCCCTGGTTTGTCTGTCAGTGGGGTTTGAATAGAGGAGGGGTCTTTGAGGGAGCAACATAGAACTTTGATGGCAGGTCCCCAGGGGAGGGAGGGGATGAAATGTGGCCAGAAGGGAATGCAGAAGTCTTGTCCAAGGATTTCCAGGTTGCTTTCTGACTCTCCCATGGGGGGAAGATTGCACATTGCAGGCTCCTAAGCTTAGGTTCCATGTAAGGGCCCAAGGAGGCTGGGTCGGGCCCTGGATATTACAGGCCACACTTGTCCCTGGGAGACAAGGTTCCAGCAGTTGACATTTACTGCCTTAAGTTAGAGCACTGCCTTTTCTTCTCTTCTGGGATGTGAGACCCATCAGATTCATCTGGATGTTTCTACAGCTGTAGGTGGCTCATTAGGGGCCTATGGCCTGAGGTATAGGCTCTCTCGATGTGGGTGACTGCCTTCCCTCAGGTGGTGACAGACAAGTAAGTGCCTGGGAGTGTATTGATGATAATAGTGATAGGTTTTGCTTTCATGGTGCCTTTCAGCTGGAAGGCTTAATGGATCCTTACAGATACTAATGGGGTGACCAAGTACCAGGGAAGGAGGCAGTGGCAGGGTTGTGACTGTGATCCTAATGAGGCAGTTAAGTGACTTGCCCTGTGGCATTGCGTTGGGAGTGAAGTGAAGCCAGTCCACATCCCTGGGCATGGAGCTGGCCCGCAGCATGGGTTTACAGATGAGTTTCATAAATGAGGCTCACGACTTTGTGCTTGGACACGCAGCCATTCCTTGACTGGGACTGAAATGTGAAAATTGAGCTGGCCGGAGGGCTAGGCAGGGAGGAGGATGTTTTGGTCTAATTGGGGGGATGGCTTCCTCCCAGAGAATTCTACTGGGGGTTATTTCAAGAGCTGGGAGTCTGTGTGGCCCGGACAGAGGAAGCTGAGCTGGAAATCACATGCCAAACCTGTCACTTTAATCCCCTCGGAGAGTCACCAGCTCCTACTTTCAAACAGTAAATGATAGAATTTTCACAGAGTATGTTCCAGAAGCCTGCTCAAGTCCCTTGAAGGAAGAAGGGTCATCATTATAATTAGGCTATAATTATATTACTAAAACTTTGTAAGTTTTGAGGAAACAAAAGATTCTAAGAGTCTTTTCACTCCTTATAAGTCCTGGCAAATTTCTAGTGTCACCTGTACCTTTTGTCTCCCCAGGACGCCCAGGCACTGGGTGAGCCTTCAGCAGATCAGCTTTGTCTTGTGACTCATGTCAGTTATACTGACATTCCTGGGGTTTTCCAAGTTGGTGAGCAGGGGCTGAGGACACAGCAAAGATCAGCAAAGATGCTGGCCATGTTCTGCTTTTAATATGTTTCTCTGTTCATGGAGATGAGCAAGTGTTAGCCGGCTAAAATTTCTCACAGGTCCCATATGTTCTGGAATGTTCTCTACCCCAGGCCATCTCATCAGACCATTTAATTTCAGTCTTTAATTAGCCAGTGGTTCTTGGAGTTGGTTTTTTTTTTTTTTTTTTTTGACTTGTTTTCCAATTCTAATACTTGCTCCTTTACTTCTCTTAAAGGGTCCCTACAATTTCCTATGTGGTAGAAATGATACTGTAAGCAAACATCCCAGTGGAGCCAATTGCTTCTAACTTTAAAGAAGTCTGGAGCATGTACAGTATTTCAAAGGGAAAGTCACTTGGGTGCCCTGCAAATGTTTTAGAATCTATTTTTGAATCAGTCTCATTTGTGGACTAGGTCTTTTAAAGTTTGCAGTCCTGGCTGTTGATAACATCTGTGGCTTATAATGACCCTGAAAATACTTAGTTTTTTTCAGACCTTTTGAGAGAAGTTTGTGGGAAATTTCTTTTTTCCCTATACTCAATTACTTAAGAAGCCTTTGAAATCTGACCAATAGGATCATAATTCCATCTGATGTGATTTCCCAGTCAGTCTGCACATGCCTGAAGTTTCTTTACTGGAGGGAATGAAATTGGATATGTCAGTCATGAAATGTTCTTTTGAAAAAACAAATGTTGCTGGAGGTAGGAAATAATTGCATACTGTTTTCAAAATGTTTTTCTTTCTAAAGGCTCACAATTTTGTTTTCTTTTTCCAGATGAATTTATCATGGGTTCCCTTTTCAGCCGCAGAAAAAAATTTTTTCTTCCACTTACATTTATTTAAAAAAGAGAGATTATGTATAGAGATGTGAACAACTGGAGATGGGGAGGGGGCCCTATTTTCTAAAAGTCTGAGGCCCAGGAAACTGAAGCTCTAACTTGTTTCAGCTTGTTCTCATGAGCTGTACATTATACAGCACAGCAGCAACAGCAGTTTTGTGATCCAGTGTGCTTGGAAGTGCAGAGCCAAACCAAATGCTGCAGGTTTTTTGTTTGACGCTGTTCTTTGGCAGGTTTCATGGCTCCCCCTAGTGGCCACTGTCATGCATTACAGTCCTGGATCGCTGTGGGAGTCTACCATTGATTTGTGTGTATGTCTGGTGTTTCAGTATACTCATCCTTTCAATTAATGCAGTCACTAAAAATTATTAAACAATTGGTAGGAACAATTTCAAGTAAATATTTGATTGCTTCTATCATGAATTGTCCAATAGCACATAAAATAACAGGAAAAATAGAAAATTGAGAATAGATTAATCCTTTTCATCCATACATCCATATTTTCACGTATTCTTTCATTATTTCGTTTGAGATGAGCCAGTTGAATAGTCAGGTGCTTTCTTAGGAATTAGAGAGTAAGAAGATGAGGCTGATGAGGTCTTTGAAGTCATTTACAAACAGTCCATGGGCAGCTACTCCTACATCATTTAAAAACTGTATTAGAGAGAGCTAAAGTGTGCTGGAGTTGTTTTTAAGTGTTTAGAATTGTATTTGTCAATATATACATCTTGTTAATATATACAGTTCTGTAAATAAACTTGAAATTTTACTTATAGATAACAACTAAGCAATGTATTTGTTATTTAGCCAAAAAAATGCATTACATATCTATTTTTAGCTCAAATTCAATGTGAATTCTCCCCCACCCTCCACCCCGCTTCAGGAGCTGACTCCCTGGACCCACACAGATTTTGGGGGTATAGGGAGGCATACAGTAGTACAAGAAAGTCATCTTTCCAAACTGGTACTGATTTGGCAAGAGGGGAAGAGGCTTAGTTAGCATGGTGCTTTGGCCTCTTTTGGGAGAAACATTGGCATCGAGCAGAGAGGACCTGGGAAAATGCTTGGAGGAAAAGATCACAGTCCCAGCTGGGAAACCTTTGAGTAGAGCCACCATTCTGACACTCCTGTGTCTCAGACTGGACTCAAACGTGTTATGTTGCTAAGGATAACCTTGAACTTCTCACTCTTCTGCCTCCACCTCTCACGTGCTAGGGTTACAGGTGTGTGCCACCACACATGTTTATTTGATTCTGGAGATCTAACCCAAAGCTTCATGCATGCTAGGCAAGCACTCTACCAACTGAGCTACATCCCCAACCCCGAACCACCACCTTGTGTCCCCTGACAGGTGTCCTCAGGGGAGAGCACTGTAGCAAAGGTCAGAGTGGGGAATCAAGGAGATGGAATGGGGGCGAAGCATCAATATGTTGGGAGAGGTTCTGGTATGTTACTGATCTTGCAGTTGTCCAGCTGTTGGAGCCCCACTGTTTATCCTTTTCTCTTGCTTAGGGAGCATAGCTCAGCCTGGATGTACTGGAGAGGACATGAGCAGGCCCAGGCAGACGTTACAGGATGACCGACTTGTGCAGTGTGATCATGGAGAAAGCCACAAGGTAGAGCAGTGGTGTGTCATCCCATGGCCTTCCAGTCTTTTCTGTGATCTCCTTGCCTTTGTTTAGTGACACTTCCTGGCAGCTCCCAGTGCCCTAGACAACCCAGTTGTGGGTTCCTCCCTGACAGTGAGCCATGTTGGTGTTGATTTATGTTTAAAGTCTCCATGTCATGGGAGGGGTGAGGAGATGGGGTAAGAAGAGGCCTTTGTAATTAGACTTTTTGTGGTCTTCTCTCTAAGCTAGACAAGCATGAATGAAGCCAAAATGAAACCAGGAACACATGGGATTGGCCTGAGCCTGGCATCATTAAGGAAGGAGTGAAAAATATGAATTTCAAATTTGACCACAGACCAGCCTCTTTCAGGCAGAACACAAGCAAGACAAATTTGTCCTGCTCTTTTCTCCAGCCTCTTAAGCCCTGGTCTGGAAAATAGAAGATGGCTTTAGGTTTTTGTATACTCCAGAGGAATTACGGAGTGAGGTCTTAGGGAGAAGGAAGGATACTGAATATTTCATAGTGGCTTCTTGCTCAGTATTTGATAAGATTTAGAGTTTTCTGGAAGTCAACTCCGAACATATGCCCTCACAGGGTAATTGGATGACATCTGACCTTTGGTATTGATGGGTCTTTGCTCTTTCCCAAATCCCCAAAGAGTCAACTTTTTTTTTTTTTTGAGACAGGGTCTTCTTTTAGGCACAGCTGGCCTGGAACTCAATATATAGACCAGGCTGGCCCATCTGCCTTTGCCTCCCGGGTGTGAGCCTTTTCTCTTTCCATTTAGCCCCCTTCTACTTTCATATCTTACTTCTTTTTGTGTGTGTGATCTAATGAATTTCATTAGGGTTGCTCACAGAAGCATGGGTGAAGGGTTATTTACAGGAGCAGAGGCACCCTTCCATTGGCTACACCACTGAAGAAAATGTCTCCTTGCCGTAGCGCAAATACTAACTGCCCATAAATCTTCAGGGAGGGCCAGGGCCTTGTGAACCCCTCCCCCCATTCCATGACAGCATACAGATGAGCTCAGGCATGCACAGGTCTTGTGCAGGTGACCATAGCTGCTGTGAGTTCAGGACTGCAGTGGCCTTGTGGTACCTGGAAGACAGCATCCCGCAGCATTCTACCTGCTCCTCCAGCCCTTACATTCTTTCTGCATCCTTATCTGTGATGCTCCCTGAACCTTGGAGGCTTGATAGAGATGTCCCATTTATGGCTGAGCATTTAACAGCCACTTAATCTTGGTACTTTGACTAGTTATGAGTCTCTGCAGTCACCACTGACAACTGCTAAAAGAAGCTTCTCTGAGCAAAGCAGGGATCTATAGACATGACATAATTAGAAGGCAATTTGATGGGGACATTGTGTCCACTTAGCAAAACAACAGTAATAACTTCCCCATTAAGGTCTAGGAACTCCCCAGCCAAAGGCTTTTGACCAGGTCAACAATACACATGTGAATTCTCTCCAGTAGAGAGGACCTCAAATTCAGTTAGAACGTGGTTGACCATAACAGAATTGACTGGCCAGTCAGTGAGTGTTACGCACAGGGTCCACAGCTGAGTAATACTATAAGTGACAGTGCTCCCCCAGCGGCCTGCATAGCACCATCTGACATTATGAGGGCTAGCCACCAGGGAGGAAACTTCTAGTTTCAGCTTGATTTCTCTGTGTCCTTTGGCCAGAGCAGGTGGTGTCTTCAGCAATTCATAGGGAAGTAGTTCACCCTCAGCACTGGGATTTTTACTGAATAACTTATGGCTTCTGGGTGCAGCTTTATCTACCCAAGTGGGGTATCTCTGTTCAAACTAGGCTGGGGATGTGGCTCAGTTCCTAGGGTGCTTGCCTAGCAGGCATGGAATCCTAGGCTGGATCCCCAGCACTGCATAAACTGGGTGCAATTCTGTATACCTGTAATCCCAGCACTAGGGAGGTGGAGGCCAGAGGATCAGGTCATTCTTGGCTTCACAGAGTGCTTGGACTTCATTAGACCCTGTTTAAAAAAAAATAATGCTGGGCTGGGCATGGTGGTCCATGCCTTTAATCCCAGCACTTGGGAGGCAGAGGCAGGCAGATCACTTTGAGTTCAAGGCCAGCCTGGTCTACATAGTGAGTTCCAGGACAGCTGTGGCTACAGGGAGACCCTGCCTCAAAAAGAACAAAAAGACCTCCTTCTGCTTCCCTGGGCCTGCAGGACCTGCCTCAGGCCTCTCTCCTACCCACAGGCCTCTCTCCTGGGCAAGTCCATTGCGCCCTCCGTGCCTTGACTCCCCCAGCCTCATTCACCCTCCGATCTCCCCCTCCACTCTCTCCTTATAAGGACAGCTGTGGCTACAGGGAGACCCTGCCTCAAAAAGAACAAAAAGACCTCCTTCTGCTTCCCTGGGCCTGCAGGACCTGCCTCAGGCCTCTCTCCTACCCACAGGCCTCTCTCCTGGGCAAGTCCATTGCGCCCTCCGTGCCTTGACTCCCCCAGCCTCATTCACCCTCCGATCTCCCCCTCCACTCTCTCCTTATAGTTTGGGTCGCGCCCTCCGTGCCTTGACTCCCCCAGCCTCATTCACCCTCCCATCTCCCCCTCCACTCTCTCCTCATGGTTTGGGTCCTGCCCCATTCTTTGTGCTGGGGCTCCAGACACCTGGGGAACCAATATTGCTTCCTGATCCTTTTCATCCAGACCAACTTAGTGCCTTCTCTGGGCCCCAGGAGCCCTACTTTTGGGCCTGGCCCTGCGCTCACATCCCTCTGCTTCCTTGGGCCTGCATCACACACCAGCCTCTTTCTGGGAGGCAGGGCTGACCTTTCCCCTTCCTGAACCTTTGCATCCAGACCAACCCAGCTCCTCAGTACAGTCCCCTGGAGTCCTTGGGGCCTCTTCCCACCCCATCTGCCTTTGCAACTTTGGGTGGCATGGCCACCAGCTGCCCTAGACCAGCATCTTTCCTGGGCCAGGCTCCAAGGCCAGTCCAACTCCCAAATTCCTGAGGCCAAAAGTGTCCCTGGAGGGATCCAGACCTTAGGAGAAAGCCCAAAAACATCTGACCTTCATCTGAATTGGGCCTCTGTGGGAAATCCTGAAGACAAAAGCAATCTGGACACTCCAATATAAAATCAAAAGAGAGGACTGGAAGCTTAGACAAACCAGCTTTTCATACCCCCAAAGTAAACCACAAAGACAAATAAAGTTCACAAAGAAGCAGACCTAAACTTGAAGGCCTGAGTCTCACACAAGAATCAGAAACTACAAAAGAAATTCACATGTGAAAATCACAGAGAAAAAATAATAACATGAAAAACCAAAATAACATATCCCCACCAAATACCAATAGTCCTCTAGAGGAGTACAGTGAGAACCCCCTAGAGATAATGCAGGACATGGAACTCAAAGAACAATTATAAACATGAGAAAAGAATTTAGTGAATTTAAAGAACACACAAAAAGAGAAATCAAAGAACTGAAGGAAGATAGGGATAAACTTCTAAATGAATTCAGAAAGGAGTTAGAAATATTGAAGAATACTCAGGCAGAAATGAAGAAGCAAGTGAAACACTCAGTAAGTCAATTAGAAACGATAGG